TACTTATTTTGTTGATCTCATCTCGGCATACTATCATCTGGAGGCGGCAAATGGTCCAGCTTCTGCTTATTCTACCAGCTATGTATTGCTGTTAGCTTTTAGTTTTTAGTTAGTTTGTTTTTTTACCTCATATACATCCATGAAAGGACCAATTGAGTTTTGGCACAAGACCAAAGTTCTTCATAATCATACGATCTATTGTTCTGGTGAAAGTGGAACTTCTAAAAGCAACTTCTCTTAGCTGTTGCTGCAAATTGAGTGATATGCAGTTTTAGATTGCTCTTATTTGTATTTGTGCTATATTTGAGTTTATAAGTTTATTTTATTACATGCCATATCTCCAGATTTGGAGATATTTATTTGCTTTGACTCTCAAATTATATTATTTTGCAGGTCACAATGAAAATAATTGAGGATTACATAATTTTTGGTGGATCAGAATTTTTGAAAAGCCATGGTGCAAGCCTAGCTAACATCATTGATACTATTGTTGGAAATGTCAATGACAAAGGACTTCTCACTGCGCTTCCTATTGTTGATCTTCTTATTCAGGTTACAATACTTTGTCCTAGTGAAGCAACTCTACTTTCCCGAGTAACTTCTGGTGATGTTGGTTACTGTGAATTTGTTGGGACAAGTTGATGTGAGGGAACCTAGTTTTCTACCGTACTAAATTTGCTGTAACCATAATTTCATAGGCTAGAACTACAAGGAAACGGTTGGTCCTGAATATGCAGTGCTGTAGTTAAGGAGCCTTGTGCTGTGAAGAATTTCTATTCATTGACTTTTTATCTGCCCATCAGGTCATAAGGTCCTGTAATTGAATTGTCTAGACCTATATCTCAAAAAAAAAACTTGTTGCAGTTAGCTTCCTTCTTTTGCTGAGATCTAAGTTTCTAATCAGAGCTTCTTGGTGCAGATCTTTCCTCTGGAAGCTCCACCATTTATATCTAGTGCTCTTCAGGTACTTATAAACTTGGTCATGTGTCTGGGGTGCTCCAATGACCCTCCATTTTTCATTACATTGTTTTTCCATTTCCATTGATCTAACTTGTGCGTTCATGACAACTTCTAGAAACTTACCTTCATATCGTTGAGTCAAGATGATGGGCAAAACCCGTCTAGGACAACTGTCCGGGCATCCTCTGGGGCGATTCTTGCTAGGCTTCTGGTGATGAATACAAACTTTTCGGCACAACTATTATCAGAGCCTGCCCTTTTGGCAAGCATCCAACAAGCTGGGATTTCTGTGAACAATAATCTGCTTCTTTCTTTAGTTGATATGTGGATCGACAAGGTACTTCCTTCAGCACTGTTCGTTTCTTGGAAATTGGGCACCTTGTTCTAAAGATTATTTTTTCATGAGGTCGTTTTAAAGATTGGGATACCTACATAGTTCTAGTGGCTAATGTTCTGGGCTCTTTTGATCCCGCCATTTGACTTCAATATGTGTACAAGGCCCCGTTTGGATGCTCCTGGGGTTATAAGAATCCAGATAGTAGATAGTGATTTTGGATAGAAATAATCTAATCTGTTTAGATTCCCAGATTATACTCTGGATAATGGATGCGTACAAGCTAAATGTCTAAAATTCCCTTGAGATGGTTTTGTGGATAAAGTTGAAGCAAGGGCAAAATTGTCTTTTCCCACCCACATATAGAAGGGATATTCGACTATAGCCTTGGATTTCTCAAACACATACCAGAATCCCCTAGAAGCCCTTTCGTTTGGATAGGATTCTGGTTTTTTTGGCCTGATTGTAAAATCCTATCCGGATACAAACGAGCCCTAAATTATGCTGTGCATTTGATGTATCTAACCTGTTCTTGTTTCAACATATATCCTGACCTGATGATGCTGGGGTTATGGTTGTGTTGTCAATGAAACTTTTCTGTTCATACAAAACCGTGCTTGTGTCTATTCATACAATGATTGAATACTTGATATCAGCCTCACTTTAGTATTTTTGACGTGTTTTAGCTGTTGATATGCGAGTCTTGTAAATTCTGGAAGAGCTCAGTGGTTTTTGTGGTACTATTTTCACAAGCACTATGTCATTGGACAGGTAGATGATGCAAATGCTATACAGCAGAAGGAATATGCAATGGCGCTTTCTATAATTTTGACATTACAGGTACCTCAGGTCATTGACAAACTTGATGACATACTGAGGTAAGATGTTTCTTGGGCATTTAACTGAAACTGAAAGTCTGCCTTGTTGGTGGTTGGGACGTACTAATGAGTTATATGATTTAATGCAGTGTCTGCACTACTGTCATTATAGGAAGCCGTGAAGTAAAGACTGAGGACGATACTAGGTATCCTTTCGTCCTTCATTTTAATACGATTAAGGCTCTTTTATTTGTTGTTAAACCTTTGAGGCCTAGATTATTCTGTCAGCAACTCTTGATATAATTGTTTGCAGTGGCGATATCACAAGCTCTTCATGGATAGGCAACGATGGTTCAGGTTATTCCAATACTTCAAGCAAAGAGCTGAGAAAGTGCCAGGTATGGCATGCTTTACCTGGCTGTTCATTTCCAAATACATACAGGTTTGTAAGGGCACTGTTTCTGAAAGTTGTTTGTTGACTAGGTAAAGGATTCAGATCCAATCAAACAAGCATCACTAGAGAACGTGTTAAGAGAGAACTTAAAAGCATGTGCAGTTTTCCATGGGGATGAAGTATTCAATGCTGCCATTGGCAGGATCCATCCATCTGCGTTTGCTCAGCTGCAGCAGGCCCTGAATACTGCATAAGATGTGCATAGCTGCTACTTGATTGTTTGGTGATAAACTGATATTGAACCATTAGGTGGAGCAGGCATTGCTTCGTGAGGCACCATGAGCATATAGTGTGGTGGGTGATAGAAACACAGTAGGACCTACCAAAGCCTTGAGTAGTTCAACAAAAGGCTGCATGCTTCGATGTATGTAACATGGTCCTTGCTTCTTTTCAGGTGCTGCCATTTGAAGCAGAGCGGCGATGTAGCATACTGTTGAACATGGCATGAGTTTTTGATGACACAGAAGTGCAGAGTGCCTAAGCTACCAAGCTTATGAGCGTGTAGGGGGTATTATGGATTGGTTGGTTATTTGTTCCTGAATTTTGTCTCAGGGCAGTGATTTTCCGATGTCTGGGACCACCGACCGTGAGGTTTAGTTGGTGCCGAGATATGATTGGGGCTGGGTGATTGTTGTTCGGTGTGTTGCAGGAGAATTGGATTTGGTCGGTCGTGTGGATGGCCAGAGTTTTTATAGCTGTCCTTCCAAGATGACTGACTCGAGGTCCTGGGTTCAGTTTGTTCATTCATACGTTTTTTTTTCCCTCCTGGTAAAATCAGAAATCATGGCCAGGCAACCATCCTACTTACTGGTGACCCCGAGGTGGTTGTTTGAGAAGGACCTTGTCGTGTGAGAAATACAATCCTATGGTTGTCCTGGAATGCAATTTTGTTTTACGTTTATGTTCCGCAGGCTTCATGCTTTCATGCTCTTGTGTTGTGCCTAAGAATTAATGATCGAGATGTTTGCATTGGATTTCCTGGTGACTAGCCCATTTTGGTTTGGTCATTCTTACATTTAGGGAGTGGTTGGTTAGTTTGGTTTGATGGGGAGACTGGAGAAGACATGTACTCTACTTGTGAACAACTGCGTGCTCCATTATCAGGCTTGTTGATTGATCCGACGCTATATACTACTCCCTCCATCCCAAATTGGAAGACGTTTGATTTTTTTAGCCCCAAGTTTGACCACTCGTCTTATTCAAAAAATTTATGTAAATATAGTCAAATTTAAGTCATTCTTGAAGAATTTTTATTAATAAACCAAACCACGATGAAAAAAAAATGATATTTTACACAATTTTTTGAATAAGGCGAGTGGTCAAATTTGATGTTAAAAAAGTCAAACGTTTTATAATTTGTGATGGATTGAGCACATCTTTTCTTGCTGAAATTAGTGCGTCTGTATACAGTGAATAGTCTGGGAGTATATGAGCGTTGTCGCTTGTCGGTCCCCAGATGTGTCCGCCTCACAGTGCCCTCGACGGTCGTGCGCGTTTTGTGTGCAGATCCTGTGCCATGATCTTCTTGGTCATGATGGCGGCGGCCAACTCTGCGGCACGGCACTGTTGCAATCGAATTGTAGCCATGTGAACCAGAAATGTCGACTGCAATGTGTTGCTATTTGTGTACAAAGTGTTGACTGCAAGTATAATGATATATAAGTCTGAACGGAACACTGCCTCCTACTCCCTCCGTCCCATCTCATCTAAAGTCATATTTTCAACTTTCACCAAAATATATAAAGATAAATCACTAAATGTATTTCATAATAAACTTAATTAAAGATATAAATATTGGTAATGCTTCTTACAAACCTAATCACCTTAAGAAAGTTTCACTAGCACGAATCTATAGCTATACTTTGTTTGAGAAGGAGAGAGTACTTTAGAATATGAAAGGCCAGGAAATACAAAAGATGTGCAAATCCAAGGAATAATTTGTTGGTCATTTTTTACATTTGACTGAACCAAACCCAACTAGATTGGCATGGCAATGACAGCACACTTAAGGGCTTTTCTAAACTCATAGCTCCTGGAATATAAATGAAGAGTGAGTTTTGTCTGATGTCCATCAAAATATATTTAACCTTTTACTGTTTATTAGCTGGCCAGAGTTGCCAAACGGGTGAGCAAAGAAAAGCTGGTGAGCTGTAGGAAGGGAAGGCCGGTGCGCTCATCTCATCTCCACCACACCACACACATCGCACGGCTCCAACATCAATCACCATTAATTACCAAAAGAGTAACCCCTCTCTCATCAATCACCATCGTCATCTCACCACCCAGAGAAACACAAACAAATCACAGCTCCCACCACGGCGCCGCCGCCACCTCCTGCCCCACCGCCACGGCGGCCGGTGCAACTCCCTTCGTCGCGACCATTGCGCGCGCAGCCGCCCTCCTCCCCACCGCTCGGCTCCTCCTGCGCGGGCGCATGGCTTCCTCCGCCGCCGCCGCCGCCTTCGTCGTCCTTCCCTTCCCCTCCCCATCGTCCTCCGACGACTCCGACGACGCCAATACCCTCCCTCCCCCGCCCGTGGCGGAGCCGGAAGTAGCCTCCCCGCACCGCCATCCGCCTCCACAGCTGCAGCAGCTGGAGCGCGACTGCAACTTGGCAATGAAGGAGCTGGCGCGCGCGGGGGACGTCGACCAGGTCGTCCACCTCTTCTCCGACCTCATGCTCTCCGCCACAAGCGCCGGCGTCCCGCCCAGCGTGCTCTGCTACAACACGCTCCTCAACGCGCTCGCGGAGGACGGCCGCGCGGTGGAGGCCCGCAGGGTGTTCGACGGAATGCTCGCGGCGGGCGTGGCGCCCAACGCGTCGTCCTTCAACATCCTCGTCAAGCTGTACGCGTGGCGGACCGCCGAGTTCCATCTCGCCTACGACGAGATCCACGCCATGCAGCGGCACGGGGTGGTGCCCGACGTCGGCGCCTTCTCCACGCTCGTCACGGGGCTGTGCCGGGCGGGGAAGCTTGACGAGGCCTGGGGCGTGCTCGATTGGATGCTGCAGGAAGGGTGCCGCCCCATGGTGCACACGTACACGCCCATCGTGCAGGGCTATTGTCGTCAGGGCCGTATTGAGGAGGCTACCAACCTGATTGGCTTCATGGAGGAGGCTGGTTGTCCTCCCAATGCGGTCACTTATAATGTTCTGATAAGGGCACTGTGTGACGATGCCAGATTTGATGAGGTCAAGCAGGTGTTAGCAGAGATTGAAACTAAGGGCCACAAGCCCAGTACGGTTACCTATAATATATACATGGATGCTCTTAGCAAGAAAGGCATGGCTAAGGAAGCACTCAAGCAGTTTGAAGTCTTGCAAGGTAAAGGGTTGCATCCCACAGCTTTTACTTTGAGCATCATTCTAAATTGCCTTTGCTGTAACTCAAGGTTTTCACAAGCCATTCCCATCTTGGAGAGGAGCACAGAGTTAAATTGGTGTGCTGCTGTTGTCGCTTACAACACTGTGATGAGCAGACTGTGTGACATGGGAAGATGGCCAGCTGTTCTGGAGCTCTTGGCAAACATGATCAAGAAATGTATCGTACCAAACTCACGCACGTTCAACATTTTTATCCATAGTCTTTGCATCGCTGAAAAGCTTTCTGTAGCCAAGAAATTGGTCTATAATCAAGGGTTTCCTGCAAAGGTTGTGACATACAATACACTCATCCATTCATTTTACTTAAGTGGAGAGGCCTGTGAGGCGGAAAGCATGTTTGCGTACATGACAGAAGTAGCAAATATTGCTCCAGATGAAGTCACCTATACCATAATGGTTGATGGATTATGCAGACAAGGAAAATTTGATAAGGCTACTAATTGTTTTAAAGAGTCTCTCAAGGATAGACTGTCAAAGGATCTTCTTACTACCCTTCTAAACAGGCTTGCTCGCAGTGATAGAAATGGGAACATCCTTGTTACATTCCAAGAAATTGAAAGACAAGGCTTTGTCTGTGGTTACATGATATTTGAGGATACGGTTAGATCAATCTGTCAGGTTGGTTTTCGTCAGCACATAAAGATGTTTAATCTGCAATTTCTGCTGGATGGAATGTTGGGACCTGGCAAGGAAGTGTACCCAGTGCATAAGGGCTAAGGAAAGAGATAAATGATCGCAAGAAAGATGGCAACTGGTAAATATATCTTTCAAATTTGTCGTCAAATACATCTGACTAGTGCTAAGTGCTTCCAGATGGATTAACAACATTACACATTTCTATGGAATAGTGGCTGGTGGGTGGTCATGATTTTGCCTTCAAAGTGCCTCAATTTTTTCCCATCATGAATTATTGTGTATACATTAGATTTAATTTGGAAATATTGGCTCTATCTAAATGCCAACCTTTTCTTGCTTACAATTGCAGATGAACTTCAGTTCACTCTCAGAGGTACAGCCAAGAATATACAATTACATTGTATGTGTCACAGTATCCAGAATGTGGGAGTTCAGAGGCAAAACAATGAAGAGTAATTCATCTATTATATAGCTTTAGCTATTCACAAACATAAACACAGCTGTAGTGGGACACTTAAATGATAACAGTCTGGCATTTCACTTACCAGATTAAAATTTCTTTGCTGCAGTGGAATTAGTAATGAGGAGGACCACCTTTGGGAAAAATCTTTTTCTAAACACACATGAGGAGAATAGCCAGGTATGCACTAGATAATATGCATCCAGTTTGAGTCATATGATGGTAAACACATGATGTGTATTGATGAGACTATATTTTCTAAATGCTGTAATTGTAGATTGCACAGCAGGTAGCTGTATTAATCTCCAATATTGCACGCTTGGATTATCCAAAAGAGTGGTATGTATTTATTATACAGGTACTATTAGCTGTGTTGCACATCATTCAATTGGCGATTTAAGGCTACAATGTTTCCACTTTCCACGCATCTTGTTTCTCAGACCAGACCTTCTCTCTGTATTTGCGCAACTGCAGCCTGCCAATGTTCTAGCTTCCCATCATGTCTTTATGGCTCTGTTTTAAACTCCGAAGTAGCTGCCGACTAAACGTTTTGCTGTGGCTCTGAAGAATTATGGAGATGTAATTTCATTCTATAGAAACCACTTATCCATGTGTGTCCCTACTCAGATGTGCTTGTGTTTTGTCTGTTGATATTTTTGTTTCTTTTTATTTTGGCCTGAGCCTGATTCCATACTGGCTTGTTGTCATTAGGCACATCGTAGAAAACTCATATTATTTCTGTATTTTCTTATTTGAGCACACGAAAGCATCTCAAGGGATTCACAGTGGCATTGTCATAATATGAGTGTTTCACTATTGTTAGGCTGTTCTTGAACTGATCAAGAAATATGCCTTCCATATTCCATAGCATCCATTTTTGCACCGTTCTCATGAAATGTGAATTTGTTCTGTTTGTTCTTGTAGTCCTATTCACTGTAATCTGGTATTTGCTCAGACTAAGCAGCATGTTCTTAGGCATATTGTTTTCTTGTGTAGATCACTGGCTACATGTTTAGGTGTACCTGGAACCTTAGGAAGAGCAACGTGCAGACTTTCTATGCTCTTGCAGCGGAATGACATAGATTCCATTTTTGGAGCAATCAAATGACCTTATTTTAATCTGCAACTGATGGTTACTATGCTTAAAGATCGTTCGGCAGCTAAAAGTTTCAGGTTATGCTAGTGCCTCAAGAACTGTGCAGCTAAGCATATTATCACTTCTGCTCATAGTCTCACACTCACTGCTACTGAATGTTCATAAGCTGTTCCAACACCAAGATTTGCAAGTAGCTGTGGGGGTCTGGCAGTGGCAGGCAAGGGAAGTTTGTCCACCAGTTTTGAGTCTTTTTACAGGCACTAAATCCCTCTTCCATATTGTAAGTTATATATTGTATACTCCTACTTGTTATATCTTCTCTTGACATGCGCCCTTTTTCCTTTGTAGTTTCACCTGGGCACTAATTCCAGTACCAAGAAATTTCTCTGATTATCCTGACTTATCAAATTTAGGCATTACTGTATTGTGATATTTTTTTATTGGTTTCCTTTGCTATTTGGCTTGGCTATTTAATCTACCCTTTCGATTGTTCTATTGGCCAGAAAACTCAGACCATTCCTTCAAAGACAAGCAAACTGAACTATATGGGACTTTGCAAAAAGCTCACGCACTAAGTTGATGGAAGTCTTTGTTGCTTTACAAGGCAGACATCCATATTGTTTTGTTCACCAAACTGTGCTTCCAGCTACAGTTGACCTCAGCCAGACGATGATTACAAATCCTGAACGGACTGACTACTTGTGAGGAGTTTCAACTGATCAATGAAAATGCACTGCCTTGAAGTCTGGAGCAAAGGAAGAAAAACTTCGGTACTGGGGCTACAGTGCTACACGCTAAAGGTCGTTTTGCCTGGTGATCGAGTCGTGTTGCTTTTCAACGTTTCTTGGCAAGCATATAATTCATGTCAAGCTTATAAGATTAAGATAAAATACTAGTTATCTCTTATTTACTGAAACGTTTGCAACTGCTGGACGTACAAGCAGTTGAGCAAATCATTAAGATAAAATACCATTTTTTGATGCAACATAGCATAATTTGAAGTAGCATTAGCCATGAGAAGTATAGTAGATTGAGAAGCTGCTTTGCAAGTTCATATATACTCCATATATATATATTGGAAAGTAAAGCGCGTCGCGTTATTAATTTAATCTATAAGTATAAGTCGTCGCTCATCGCCGATAAACTGACAATGAGGACGGTGATATCGTCGGTGGAGCCTCTGGACGCCGCCAACTCGACCAGCCGCCTGCAGGCCGCGGAGAGCTGCTGGCCGCCGGTGCAGCACAGCGGGCGCGCGACGTCCACCGCTTCTTGCGCGTCCACCTTGTCCCATAGGCCGTCGGAGGCGAGGACGATGAACTCGCAGTCCGCGTCCACGGGCAGCGTGGTGGTGTCCGGCTCCGCCAGCACCCATGGCTTGAGGTGCCCGTCGCCGATGCCCCTGGACACCGCCAGCGAGCCCTGCACCCGCCACGTGCCGCGGCAGTCGATGACGAAGCCGCCCTGGCTCTCGATCCGGCGGCGCTCGTCCTCGCGGGACGCGCGGTGGTCGGAGGTGAGCGGGTTGGCCTTGCCCGCGCGGCATAGCACGGCGCGGCAGTCGCCGGCGTTGGACACAACGAGGCGGCCCTTGCGGAGCAGCGCCGTGACGGAGCAGGCGCCGCCCGCCCTGGAGGTGGAGGAGAAGTCGGCGTCGGTCCTTAGGTAGGCACGCGTCACGGCCTCCTCGACGGCCGTGGTTGTGTTCGTGCTGCAGGTGCGCGTTTGCTGCTGCTGCTGCAGCAGCTCCTGCGCCATGATCCTGGGCATGTTGTTGGCGGCGAACTCGGCGGCGGCCTTGCCACCGTGGCCGTCGAACACTCCGAAGAAGGCCGTGTGGGGGTCTCCCCCGAGGCCGGCGGCGGCGACGTGGCGGTCCTCCATGTGGATCCGCCTCCGTCCCTTGCCCTTCCGGCAGTAGGCCGCGAAGCCGTGGCCCGCGGTCTCCTGGGTCTCATGCCCCGCCTCCTCCTGCTGCTCCTGTTCCTGTAGGGTGGTGACCGCGGGGACAAGGAGAGGCGGCGGGCGTCGGCGGTTGACGAGCCGCGACGGCGACGGAGTTATGGCGGTCGTCGTTACGGCTGCAAACTGCTGGTGGCTGGTGGGCTTGCATGGCGACGGGGAGCAGGGGACCTCCCTACGGTGCTGGTGCTGGTGCTGGTGCTGGGCCCGGAGGAGGGAGGGTGGTCTGAGCCTGAGCGGCGAGCCCGGGAGGGTATGGATATGGTGGTGCGGCTCCGGCGTGTCCTTGTTGAAGGAGAGGAGGGAGGGCGGGAGGCGGCGGGACGGGGAGAAGACCGGCGAGCCCGGGTTGGGGTTGGTCACCGCCGACGCGGAGAAAGGCATGTTCGCCGGGCGGAAGTAGTAGCCTGTTAACGTATGGATGAACACAGTACAGTAGTACCAGTTGTTAGGACTAGGAGTATGTTGCCTTTGCAATTTGCATCTGCCCTGCCGGTCTCTCTCCCAGACTCTCACTGCAGTGTATATATAGCTAGGGGACGGGGAGGAGTAGTGGTGTGTGGTGGTGTCCCTGTCCCTGTCCCGGCCGGTGCAGCGACGGCGACCCGGCGCTAGTTGCACTAGTGCATGCCGCAGGAGTCAGGACACTCCAGACAGGATCGTCGGAAGCTGAGCGGCGGCAACAAGGAGGGATAGAAGAAGGAAGGAAGGTAGCTACTAGCTAGGGACGGACGGCCGTCGACGGGGACGTGGCGGAAGAATTGAAGCAGTCTACGACATGGACGTCCTGCCAGCCATGGCGCGCCGTGTGTCCGTGTCTGTGTCTGTGTGAGCGAGTCAAAGGAGATGGATGGAGCTGACTGATTATGATACAAGTGGTACATTGGCGGACGTCGGCGACGGGCGACAACGGGCACGGATTGCAGCCACGCGCATCCCTGCAGTGTCGTGTACCCATCCTAGCCAGCCACCTGTGCGAGTGCGATCGACGACCTGATGATCGATGCACACCACCACGATGGCGGCCGGCCCACGCCCACGCCCACGCCCACGCCCACTAGCCCACTAGTAGGGCACGCACTAGCTGTTGCATCATCGACTTGCTCCTGCTGATAGCGATCTGTCGGCACAAATTATATTATTAGACGGGCGGTCGTCCCAGAGATTAATACAGTACTCCGTATACAGTAGCATCATAAATTTAAGAGCGAAAAGGTTTTCCGTCCTTCATCACAACCGTTCATTAGGATCCAACGGCCTCAATATCTCATGATGTGACAAATTAGACTAGTTTGTGTAAGCATGATACGAAACTTCATCCTAAAATGAATCAGTAGGATACGATAGTGTTTTCATGGTCCAACCATTTTCTTTAGGTCAAGGTACGGTGGTAGAAAAACAAATTTTATGTACACCACCCTCTCTCATGTCCGTACGAGTTCCATTGCTCAGGCATGTTACAAAGTCCGATCCTAAAATGATTTGGAACACAAAACATGACCATCGGTAAATCTCTATACCTATATCCATACGAGCAGTCTCTCAAACAAAATGAAATGTATGACGTGATCGCTAAATAAATACTCCAATCACCAATTAACCATGCAACAATATTACATGTTCCGTTACAGTCGTTACAATGCATAGCGTATAGGTATGCTAGCCCCTGAAAATCAAGGACCTATTTTATCAAAAGAAAAAAAAAATCAAGGACCGATTAGTGGGCAGGTCCAATGGTCCGTAGACCGTAGAGAAAAAGGATACGGTGGCCCACGGACTGTCTTGTCGTGATGGGCTCTAATGAAGCCGCCTGGTTTTCTACCAGGATTCGGCGATGCCCAGTTCTGTACAACTAGGCACGGACACTTTGGTGTGCCACTGATGGTTCATCAAAGTATTTAGTAAATTATTATGTTTTTTTTCTGAAGGCTGAGTAACTTACGTTACTTCTCTATATATGCAAATAAGTCACTAGAATTTTAAAATATATACAGAGCAATTTTGATGGCTTCAAACATATTCCCGCTGTTCGGAGAACAATACAATTCTAGCAAAGTGCGTACCGTACCAAGCCATTCAGAGTTTGATCAAGTTTATTAGAAGAAAAAAAAACAACAATTATAATACCAAATAAATATTGTTAAGTTCTCCAAAAAAAACTACATTTTAATAGTGTACTTATTTATTATCGTAAATATTTATACTTTTTCTTATAAAGTTAGATTTTACATAGTTTGATTAGGGACTCATTCTTTCCAGGATGAAGGTAGTAGTTTCCTCTTTATTCATTCGTACAGAGATTGTAGTTAAATGTTATCCTCCGTCCGTGTCAACCAAACTAGTGCTCCGTACGATTATTGCTCTAGCAAGTCGGTGTGAGCACGTGTACCGTACCAATTGATCGATACTCCGCTATAGAGCATGGACACGTACTGCTACTAGCCTACCGGGGATAACATAACACGCCATCCAAGCTAATTGGCCTTCGCTAATGATTTGTTTATTTCTGGTCAATTTTTTTTAGCAACTATTTCTAGTCAATTAACATTTGTCACGGGTATCCTTTCAACAACTAGCCTTCATTTTTTTGAGATGGGTAGCGCATGTTACAGTTTTTTACTTAAAAAAAACTATCTCATAGTGCACGATAATCTAGTAGAGGTCAAAAGATTTGAAATTGTGTGCTAGTGTTATCCCTGGATAAGATTTGAAGGTGCCACTAATAAGATTCTGCCTTTTGAAACACATGACCAGTCAGTAAAAGCTAAGATACTTCACTTGCTGCACTTATCTTAGTTAACTACTACCCCCTCCTCATTTGGATTATTATTATCGCTCTCGATCTTTGCACAAGCAAAAGCAAAGTCACTATCTTCCGCCTAAGTTGTAGCGTCCATCCAAATGTGGCAAATTCGGATTGAGTAGTCAAGTATTCCTTGTCCTCTCCAGTCCCTATATTATCTATATAATAATTCTGCCTCACATGCTTTGTCTTGCAATCTTTTCTTTTCTTCTCCTATCCTTTTTTTTTTCTAGCTACTTGTATATGTTCTTATTTGGTTGTGTTGTGACCACACAGAGAAAACCAGTACTAGCTAAAACCTAAAAGTATGAACCCAAACTTTGTGTAAACCACTAGTTCTTAATAAATCGACGCTAATAGCATTTGTTTCTATATGAGGCTACATACATGAGGGGAAAAAAAAACACCGTTCGTTTCGCTGAAATGTTGTGAGAGGAAAACACTGTTCGTTCGCTGCAGGTATTGCTAAAGTAGTGCCGCAAAACAAGGCGTAAATTTAGCGTGATTGGGCAAACAACAATATGTACCACGCATCACAAAGTCACCATAACTAAACACCATCACCAGGTGCTTTAACAACATATCACTGCTAACAAAAAGCCTTTACATGAAGTCAATGTCGCGCTGAAGTTATTGACTGTATATGTGTTTCCATATAAAACGAAAGAATATGCTTCCTGTGATATTATGCTCTGAAAAAGTACATGTAGCATGTTTTTGGAAGAGGGAAGAGGGGGAAAAGAAGAGCGAAAATGAATTTGTTGGTGAATAATAATATTCCAAGGTGCCCCCGGAGAGAGATTCGTCGCGTAGAATAGAAATGGGGGACCCCACCGAGCAGTGACTGAGGCAGTGACCCACCTCCCCTGTTGCTAGCGGCAGAGCAGGCCCGGCGGTTTCCCCTGGCATTCGGCGCCGCCGCCTCATCAAATCACACACAACAACACAGCCCGTCAGCCAGCCGGAGCCCAAGCCCCAAGGTTGGCGGCGGCGCGGCGCGATGGAGTCCCCCTACGCTCTCCACCTCGCCCTCGCCGCGCTCGTCGGCGCCTCCTTCGCCGCCGCCTCCGCCTACTACATGCACCGCAAGACCCTCGACCAGCTTCTCCGCTTCGCCCGCGACCAACAGCGCCGCCGCAACCGCCTCCTCCCCGACGGCGACGAACTGGAGGACGGCGAAGACGACGAGGACTATCCTCCGGCGCACAGGGACCACGATCGCCGCACCCTTCCCATCCCGCCGGGCCTACCGCCGCTCCACACCGGCCGAGAGGGTAGTACGCCTCCCGCTCCTTTTACTGTTTCTCGATTCGATTCGATTCGATTTCTCATGTTTTTGACTCATGGCTGCGTACCACCTCATAGTCACGTGTCACGTGATCGGCGCGCTAATGCGCTCTACGGAAGTTTAGCATCAACTGCCGATTCGTATCGTATATGGGAATGCACAATGTGCGCGATAGTTTGATTTGTTCAGTGTTTACTGCACACCCCCTGCTTGTTTTGATCTGGACAAATAATTGATGCTCCAACTTAAGTTGCTATTGAAGTTGATGACCTCGCGTACCTACTAGGTGTACTGTATCCTGATCCACACTGGCCACTGGCTACTTAGGAATCCCGCCACCCCCCGCGCACCCCAAAGTGATTGTAGAATGTTGAAACTGTGTCTTGATGACGACAGGGGAAATCGTAAAAACAGGATTTAGGACGTGGAAGATCCTTCATGCAAGCATATGGTTAACACTTAGAATGGATGTAATATGAACCAGTTATCCTGCTAATGTCTGTCTTCTTTACCTTTCAGGTAGGCCAGTCATTTCTCCAGGTTCGACTAAAAGAGTTGGACCTATTGTTAGACCGACTACACCCAAATCCTCCGTCCCCACTGTCAGTGCATTTGATAGAATTGAAGATTCAGATGACGAGGAGGATCTTGTCCCAGATGCCAAGAATGATACCCCTTACTTGGCCCCAAACGGTGCTATTGTAAGTGTCAGATCTCTATGCTACTCTGAACAAGTGATACCAATCTGTCTGCTAGTTCCACTAGAATTGTATCTATCAATTGCATGAATTCTTTGACTTGAGGATCTTCACATTTTGAGCTTTGTTTAGCTAAATGCAACACGGCTCAAAATCCGTGTGATTCCGGGAGGTTCAACTCACTGTTGTATTTACTATTTAGGCCTTGGACTAAGTTACACCGGTTATCAAGTAGAGTTTCTTAGTCTATGTTGCAATGCAAGTAACATATACTGATTAATTACCACACATATATTGTTGTGAGCAATGAGCATGTTTAGTTGTGTATGTAGATATGAATCATGGTACCATCTGTCTATCCTGGGCTGGTCTACAACTGCAACAGTATGATTTACACTGTTCATTTGGTAAAAACTACTTTAAACTGCTTATGACATTATAAATGGAAATTTATTCTGTTTTCTGTTAATGTCATCTCACTACAAATTGAAGTGTTCTTTTATGTGTTCTGCAACTTTGCTGTGCATTTTCTCATGTGCTGCAACATTTTTTTTTTCAATGTAGGGGCAATATTATATTTTCCTTGCAAATGTGT